CTGATTGGCCCTTCTTTCCTTACCACAATTATATTCTCCTTTGGTTTGAAGACAACACATTTTCCAGATGCTCTATTCTTTCCAACTGCTTATTCTTTCTTTACTGGATCTTCCTTCTTCCTGATTACCAAACACCTAAACCTGCAGCATGCCCTGTCAATTCTATCTTCCATATATATCTCAAATCTACCCACCTCCCCTCTTTGTATCTACTGCCATCACCCTAACTTGATTCAACATTATCTCTAGCTTGGACCGTGCTACATTCTCTCAACCAGTCTCCTAGTTATTGCCTCTCTTCAGTTCTACAGATTGATATTACTATTTTGGATAATGTCACTTTGCTGAAAACTCTTCAAAAGCTTTCAACTGCACTTTAAAAAACCAAACTACCGTTAGTGACCAAACCATAAGCAGAACTCAACCAAGTATTATTCGATGAATGAATAAATGTGGACAATTCACAAGACTCAGTCTTAAGCTCTGTTCTTTTCTCAATTTGTATCTACTCTCTCAAAGGAGATCCTCTTTTGCAGCTAAAAATAGTGTTTAATGATTCTCAAATCAGAATCTCCTGCATCAAACTCTCACTCTATCTCTAGTCCCAGGTGTTCAATTTTAAGACCTTTCTATTTATTTTACTCCAAAGCCTAAATGAAAAAAAGGCACAAAACAATATATTGTTTGCTACCACTTATGCCAATAAAAAAGAGAATTTTATATATATATATATATATATATATATATAATTGCATGCATATTTGTTTACATATGCATAAAACCGCTAGCAAGATATACAAGAAACTGGTAACACTGGTGGCCTCTAGCAAGGGAAACTGTATGGACAGGGTCCAGGGTGCGAGAGACTTCATAAGCACCTTCTGATTTTTAACAATGTGAATGTATTACCTATTCAAAATAAAGAACCTTTTGTTTTTTAAATAAACAAGTCTCTAACCCAACGATAAATGTAACCCTGCTTTCTCCTCAACTTCCCAGTTTCTGGAGAGAACCATCATTTTTGTGGCCCCAAGGCTCAAAAACACTACTAGTGACCTTTGATTCCTTGTTTTTCATATTTAATCATTCACCAAATCTTCCAGCACTTTCCTGAAAAGGTACTGGAGTTCTTTTCCTTCTTTCCAATTCCATTTTCTACACTGGAACAGACTTTCATTTTCTTGATCTGAATTATTGCAAAGGTCTTGCTACCTAAAGTTCTTCTGTTTCGCTCCCTACCTCCAATTCATTATTCATGACATTGCCACACCGGCTTCCTAAACACAGTATCACTTTCATGTTAGGCTCCTACTCAAGAACCTATAATGGCTCCCTTTTGTTTAGCAAACCAAGCTCTCAAATAAGAAACCTCTTAGGCGTAATAATAGAAACCAAATAGGCTTAATAATGCCTTTTGTGTCAGGTGTACTATTTCTTGCCCTATCATAGTTCCTTCAGAAGGCACCACCAAGAAGAGTGAAGTTTTTCTCAATGACTGGCTCAAATCACTCTCTCCTTTCTCTAATTTTCTACTGCCCAAGTCTGTGGAATAAAGTTACTTTTCACAGTATTTTGTGTTGGTGCATACCTACTATATAATCTCAATTAAGAAACTTAACCTTTCTGTGCCTTAAGTTGCCTTATCTGTGAAATGCTTTCATGGACTCTTGATGAGGACTGAGTTAAAGCACTTTATCAGCTATCTTATTACTATTCTGTAACTGTTTCACTTGTTATGTATTATCTCCCAATAAAACCCAGGATGAGGACTTCCTTATACATCTCTCCCAAACCCAATTAACACAAAATTGTGCTTAATATAAAAGGTACACACCCTATGAGTCTGCTTTTGATTTAGTCAAGTGGGATTTATTCTATTGATAAAGTAGAATTTTGACACATGTATCAGGCACTTTATTCTGTGTTACACTGTATAATCATTCTCTTTTCTTTCTAACAGTGTTTCTTTAAATACTTCACAAGTTTATTGGCTCCTTTAGGTTAAGTATATCTTCTTCCCATCAACTACCAATACTTCGATATTACCCACAGTAAGCAAAGGAAGTGATGTGAATCAATGATTTCCTATTGATATTGAGTCATTTGACATTAACTCAACTCATTCTAACTTATTTTGAACCCACAATTCAGTACTTAGCTCATTTTACAACTGTCTCTGTATTTATTCAATGAATTTTTAAAAATTAATTTTTATTGCCATAGTTGCTTTACAATGTTGTGTTAGTTTCTACTGCACAGCAAAGTGAATCAGCTATACGTATACATACATCTCCTCTTTTTTGGATTTCCTTCCCATTTACGTTGCCACAGAGGACCGAGTAGAGTTCCCTGTGCTATAGAGTAGGTTCTCATTATATTCAATGTATTTTAATGTAGCAAAATTTCCTATAAACTATGAATGTCTCATTAACTCACTCAGGGCTTTTTTTTAAAATTAAAAACCCACTAATGATCAATATATTTCATATAAATTTTAGAAATAAGTAATTTTCTAGACTAATTTATTGAATACTTAAATGATGACACTTAAAAAAAGGTAATTCTAATGAACATAGAAAAATATGAGGTGTTTGGAAATCCCAATTTGTGTAATCTGGTAAAAAGGCAAACTGAAAAAGATTTTGGTGAAACAAACACATCTATTACAAAGAAAATAAGTCTAACATAACTCCTATATAGCTCTTTGATTTCTATTAGAAAAGTGCAGTCTATTTAAACAATAAAGAAAAGAAAACAACTGACTCCATTTACACACGTTTTTCATTCTTATACACAAAGCTTTTCCAGAGTATTCTCATTGCCAAAGAGTTCTCTTAAGCTTTAATGTTATTCAGTAAAAGTACCTCAATTAAGGAAAAAGATATTTTTAAAAAGCCCTAATAGTATATTATTTAAAAGGAATTAATTACAAAAAACATTTCCCCAATGGCATAAAAATTTTTTTAAATATTTTTCTCCCGCAATACTTAAATTTTCTAGCAGAGTAACATGACACACAAAGTTATGTCCCAAAGTTCCTAAAAATATTCACAGAACCACTGTGTAATTCTGGACTAACGATGGGGGTTTATACACAAACCTCTGCTATAATGTGATCTTTCTAGTTAAAAGAACAGCTAAAGGATCTTGTATACAATTTGAGAAGAATCCATAACATAACTAATTTTTAAGGAGTCACACTTAAGAAGACAGTTCCTGAGAATTATATTCATGCAGGTAGAAAAAAATGGTTACAAAATATTGGTACTCCTTTCCCCCAAAGCAAGCAAACAAAAAAACAAACCAAAAGTGGCTATGTGGTAAAAGTCAGTACAAAGACAGAGAGTAACCATCTGCCTGGCTGACTTAGAAATTAAATTTAGTTAAATTTACCTTAAAACATCTAAGGTATAGGAAACAACTTCAGGTGTTCAATACAGAACAAATGTTTGATTCTCCATCAAAAAAGACATAATATTTTCTTAGCAAAGGAAAAAACTATTAACTGAATATGGAAAATTTTAAAAATATTTCAAAGTACTAAGAATGCACTGTATACACAAAACTGTTTAAAAGTAAGACTTTTACTAATAATGCACTGTGCAGTAGATGTAATTTCATTCCTCCAAGTGCGAAGTATTTGCTTCTGAGCATCGAAATTTTCATTGACCTTGAAGAAAGTAGGCACTGATGATGCAAGTATAATTAATTTATCTTTTCCTTCAAATTATTTATCTTTTCCTTTTAAAACTTCTGCCATATTCACTTTACACACTCCACACAAAAAAAACTGGAAAATAATTTATCTTTTCCTCCAAAAATCTCTGCCATGTTCACTTTACACACAGAACACACACACAAAAAAACCCTAGAAATAATCCAAATGTCTAACAATAGGTGTATATCATACATCATACAGTGTTTTAAAAAATGCCCAACTAAATCTACATTAACATGAACAAATCTTCGAAGTAACTTTGAGTGAAAAATGAAAGTTGCAGAGTACATGTAAGAATAGGAGATCAATTGTGTAAAGTTTAAAAACGCACAAAAGACTACGTATTATTTATGGATACATACATATGCAGAAAAGGTATAAAGCATGTACAGAAATAATACACATTAACTTCAGAATAGTGGTTACCTACAGGGAGGGTGGAGAATGGATAGAATGAGATGGGTACAAAGGGAGTTTTAATTCTATCCACAACGTTCAACACTACAAAAAGATTTGAAACAAATATGGTATAGTGTTAACATTGTTAAATTTGGTGGTGTTACACAGACACTCATTATATTATTCACTGTACTTCTCAATTTTGGAATCTTTCATAATAAAAATGAAAACATTCACAGGATAAAGGAAAAGTTGAATCACTGCAGCCATTTCCAGACTAGATAATTAGCACACTAAAACACAACACAGGTTTTCTTTTCCCAAATAAGACAATAAGTATCAACAGAAAACATTGCATAATAGTCAGTGTACACTTTCATGAAATATCCATTGGTTATTATATTAAAAATATACAACAATTAAAGAACAGGATTAAGTGCTTCTACTTCAAAAGCTTTATCTTTGCATGAGTCAAAGGATCCACTTTCACACCACAAACAGGCTTTCCTTGCTTTAAAGAGTACCCCTTTGAATTTTCTTTTATGCCATTTCCTTTATATGTGACTGAGAATAAAAGGCTTAGTGTACAGGGTATAGAAGATACCTGGCTAACTGCAGTTAAATAAGACTAATGAATACGTCGTATTCCAATATAAACTAACAGTGGCTCAATTCAAAGATAATAAATTACTTCCAGAACAAAAGCTTTCACTTTTCAGTTTGAAACTTTTAACCTGCAAGGGAAATACAGATAGCCTGTAATTCTGTTTACCATCCATGTTTTTTTTTTTTTTTTGTCAGAAAAGCTTTCCCATCTTTGTCAGATTAATACTTCCTTGATCACAGATGAAGTCTTTCAAATTAAAGATAAACAACTACTTGCCTGTTGTTTCTGATATGCAGTGTTTGGATTTATCTTTGATTCCAAGAGTAGTGATCCTGCAAGTTAAAAAAATAATATTTATAAGTTTCAATTTATAAAACACTGAATAAAACATCAGAATACACATTAAAAAAACAACTTTTTTCTTCCCCCAGCAGGACATCTGAAGTAATCAAATGTATTCCAATTTACATTCTTCTCTCAAGATCTGGGCTTCATATTTAATGTAGAACATATCATCCTATCCCCATATACCCTTAAAGGAAAAATTTCATCTAAGAACAACATTCAGACCAAGAATATGCGGAGACTAGATTACTTATTATAGTTTTATTGAAATGAAAAATTTAAGGTCTAAATGACCACCTGAAGCCAAATTTTTTTTAACAAGGTTATTTTATTGCATTTCCAGTTTAACAAATAAAACAAATTACAAAGGACGACAACAGGGATTTAAATACTTAGTACACAAATACAGAATTACATTTATCCTTTTCTCCTTAAGAACAAAAAGCAGGACACCTCATGTAAAGATAAATGTCCATGATTACTTTAAAGAAAAAGTGCAAGAGTAAAAGATATGTCAAAAATAAACCGAAGACTGCTATTTTTCTTTAATCTGCACAAATCAGTTGCTCAAATCCAGCGATCAGATACAGTGAGGAAGGTGTTTTACTTAAGGCTGTACATTTTATAATTTTAAAATATTTCACTTAAGACTCGTACAATAAATCAACGAATACAAGTTTACAATCTGCTCTGGTGTCCTAACTTGTTTTGGTTGTAAAGTATCCACTTGTTCACAGCACCTTCTACAAAGATAGCCTGGAGGGATCCCAGACTGAAGGTGTATGTGCTTGTGCGTGCGTGTATTGTGGCAACAGTCTGCAATAACCCCAGGAAATAACCCCTGCATTTTGGTTTTCCCCAGCACCTGTCGACTGTGGCAACTGGGGCTAGTTAGCAAAATCAGTTAAAAAAAAAAAAAAGTTAAGTTTCACTAAACCTTTTGTACCAGGCATATAATGGGATAAGAAAATAAAGGGGGACGGGAAGGGTCAGTTCCCTAGAACAAGATCACTACTACCTTGTTTCTCATGACTTCCTCTCTTCTCTCTCACACTCTTCCCCCCACCTCTTTAAGAGGCGAGACTGGAGAGGAAGGGGTCAAAGGTTTAATAAGGAGAGGAGGCGGGGGAACAGAGAATCGGCGTCCGACTGAGGATAAATCCCAACAAAGTAGTTTGTCTTCACCGTACTGAAGTGCAGACAGAAAACCAATGCGCTGTCCCAAGCGGTGGCAGTAACAGTACTCGGCCCAGGGCCTAAACCCCAAGGCTGTGCCCAAAACGGAGGCATGGTCCCCTACCCTACGGTTCCAATAACCTTACCGTCGGACTCTGCCCGAACCAGCAGCGACATTCCCTTGAGCTCCTCCACATAGGTGGAGGAGACGTGCCCGGTGCCTCGGTCGTCCCATTGCCGGTCTTCGTTCAGGGTATAAACCTTCACTCGCCGCCGCGTATCCGACATGGTGGCTGCTGTCCCCACAGCTCCAGCCGCCGCCTCCTTGCTCACCTCGTCCGCGCCCCTCACTCTAGAGAGACGGTAGCGGCGGTGGCTGCAGCGGCGGCGGCGGCTCCGGAGAGGCCCGAGTTCACCATGGCTCCCAAGGTTCAGCCGCGGGAAGGGGCAACAAGAACCACTGAGACCTTTCCGCCCGGAGTCCCGGTTACCTCTCACTTCACCCCCGCACACAGCCACCCTCCCCACCCTTTGACCCCCAGAGCTCGCTCGCTCTCTCGCCGCCGCCGCCGCCGCGGTAACTACTACAGATCCGCCATCTTGTAACCCGATTCTCTCTGCCTTTCTCTTCCTCCTCCAGCAAGCTCGCACGGGCTGTCCTAGCAGGGGCTACGGCGGCCGACGAGCCCAACAAGAGGCACCTCCGTTTCTGCATGCACGGTGTTCTCGCGAGGCGGGGTACTGGACTGAGGTGGGTGTGTCTAAGTGCGACTTCCTCCTATCTCGGCCCCGCCTACTCCCGTGGGATCTCGGTTGAGTGGGCGGTCCCTGCGAGCTCCTTGTCTCCACTGGTTCCGCGAGAGTCCTCTCTGGGCAGGCGGCGGGCGCGGAGTCATGGATTCGGCTTCGTGCGGATTGCTGGCTTCACCCGGCGTGTGACGAGCCGTGGGATCCAGCTCTGTGGAAAACACAAAGCAAACCTGGGAGGTACGCATCCTTGGACGGGACTCACCCTGAGCAAAAGGGAAGGAAATGTGCTCGCACTGCTTAATGGAAGCTCACCCTTTCAGCCTGTGAGAGAAAAACAGTTTAAACCTCATTCTGTGAGGAGGTTAGCCCTTTAATGCGACCCGAAACCCCCTGAAACTCGCTATGGAGTCTGTTACAGTTAAGCATCTCCTCAGGAAGTGTCCTGTGCATCTCCAGGAGATTGTAATATTGTACACAAGTGTATCGTTAGGCTTTTGGTGGCTGGCCATTGAAAAGCATACTTTCCGCTTCATGAAAATACAGTGCCCTTCCCGTGTTTGTAACGTCGGAAAATAAGTCTTCAGATAAGTTTAGGGAAGTGGCAGGGAGCTACTTTCCTAACATATCGAAGAGCACTGTTTCGATATTTTTGAGTTTCTCTTGCTGACATTTCTCGCGTTCTCTCTCGGGAGGTCTTATGCACTGAATAAGCGAGGGAGGAATTCTCTTGGCGTTCACGTTGTCAAACATCACATTAAGTGTCAGACATTGAGCGGTGGATACAAACCATGCACTGGGCCCCTGTTCGTTTTCGGTAGAATCCTTTTGTTCGTTTTTAAAGACAGTTTCAGCTTGTTGTGCCGCCAGCTTTTTACAACCCATTAGTCTGAAAGGTGAAAGTCAGGCGAGATGCACACGTTTTACCCTGCAGCGCATCTTGGGAGTTGTAGTCATTCCTTATCAATGGTGTTTTCAGAACGTGCTTATGTTTTGACCAGATCTTGTGGATACACCCTTCCGCGGTACACTAAAACGTGAGACGTCTTACACAGAACAGGCGCCTGATAAAAATTAAATTCTCGGTTCAACATCTGGATACATAGGATTTTTTAAAATCTAAGTATACTTGGATTAAATAGTTACAATATACGTGGCAGTAGAGCCCGTTAATTGCTGTGATTGATGTGGACGAAATGCATTTTGAGCCCAGAGAAAATAACATTTCCGTCTCGGGTCAGAGAAAGCTTCACACAGATAACTTTTGAGGCACACTCAGATAACTTTTGGGCCTGATGTTAGAGGATCCCTGAGTGGGAGTTTGGCTTGAAAGGTGTTCAAGGCTGTGGGGACCAGGTGAACAAAGTCATAATGTGTTACTGGCCTAAAAAAACGTATAAATAAGTTATGTATTAAGTTAAAGGAATGAGAACTGTACAGAAGTCACTTTGACACCATACGTGTTGAAAGTTTACTGTTCTACAAATAAGATCTAACTCTGGAAAAAATTGAAACAACAGGAGTCATTTCCTGTATTTATTCAATCATTCAGCAAATATTTGTTGAGCATATATTATGTGCTAGACATTGTTCTATACAGTGAATAAATAGAAAAAGTCCCTCTTTCATGGAGCTTACATTCTAGTGCAGGAAGACAGTAAACAAAGCTATGCCAGGTACTGATAAATGTTGTGACCAAAAAAAAGAGTAGCAGAAGGTTAGAGAGTGAGTATGGGAAGGGTAATGGTGTCTATTGAGGGTAGGCAGTCTGCCATGCATTTCCCTAGGGGAAGGGAGAGCCAGAAAGCAGTAACTACAAGTACAAAGGCCTTGAGGCTGTAAGCATGCTGAGTGAGTGAGAGGGATAGCAAGGAAACCAGTATGATTGGAGTGGAGTGAGAAAGGGGGGAAATGGTGGGAAGTAAGGTTGGGAGTGGGGGAGAGGCTGTCTTGAAGGGCCTTGGGTTTTGCTTTGAATGAGTTGCAAATCCATTGGAGAGTTTTGAACTAAGGAGTGGAATGATCTGAACAGTGTTTCAAAGCATCCCTTCCACCTTCCCCTTAGTATCCCTTTTGCTGTACTCCCCAATATCTGAAATAAGGGAACAGAGTTAAACCCTCAGCACTCATCTCTGCCCCTTGCTGGATCCTCAGGCACAGGTTATTGGTTTTTTCTTGCCCTAGGTCACAGGGATTCTCTCTTCTGCAACAGGCCGACCTCTAACATTTGTAAGGTCCAGGACAAGCACACAAAAGGAAGACCATATACCATATGTCTAAAGATTTAAAAATTTTAAATCAAGCTATTAAATAAAATATATTTTCTTTTCCTACCTTTGGTATACCCTAAGCAATATATTTTCATATGGCCTGGAAACCAGATTCCAAATTCAAATCTAGAATTCTTGAACTCCTCAGAGTTCCAGAGTCTCCCTTTGGCTCCTGAAGTCCTTAGCCTGCCTTCTCTTCTCACACCTCAGCTCTGCCTGCAGTTAGACAGCCCTCATGTGCGCACAGAGGGTACCCCAGCCTTTTGTCCAAGCTCTGTCTATGTCTACTCTCCCTGAATGTAGTCACCCTTTGGCCACTCCTCAGTGGCCAATTAAGGACAGAATTTGGGAAGAGGACTGTGCAGACCCTGGGAGCAGGCTTGGCCTTTGGGGCAGGGAATTCCAGGGTGCCCAGAGCATGGTCTAGAAAGGGAAGAGTGGGTTCCAAGTGGACACATCCCTTGGTTTCATGGACTTCTCATCCCATGGAGAGAAACATAGACAGAGGGCCAGAGCAGGATTCTCCAAGACACACTGAGGGCAGTAATGCACTGCAACAATGTGTATTCCCCAGCAAAGGTTTTCTTCAGGCAAGTTCCACTCCAAGGGTTGAGATAGATTTCTATATCTGTATATGTAAATTTATACCTACCACCTTTTTTTTTAAACACAAATAATGGAATACCGTACATACTATTGTACTAATATACCCTAGTTTATTTAAACCATTTTTTCTGTCTCTATATATGTCATTTCCAATAGTGCATAATTTCAAACAATAAATGATTGTACAGAAGTTGTTTCATGTGTGCCAATATATGCATAGGTTAAATTCCTAGAGCAGGGTTTTACAGTTTTGGCACCACTGACATTTTGGGCTGGATAATTCTTTGTTGTGAGAGGCTGTCCTGTGCGTTACAGGATGATTAGCTGCATTCCTGGCTTCGACCCACCAGATGCCAGTAGTATTGCACCCCATCCTCCTGTTGTGATAATCAAAATTATCTCCCATCATTGCCAAATGTCGCTTGAGGGCACATTACACTTTTTAATTCTTGAGGATTAAAAAATATAGTAATCTCTACAGAGTAAACTGGGTTCTCAGTCTTACTGACTCATGTCCTTGAAATGTGAGGCTTTCTGTTTCTACCCTTCCTAATTCTGTGCGATGTTTTTGTGAAAAACTTTTATGAAAGTTTCTTTGCTATATTCATTCACTTTTTTCCTTGAGGTGATTAATCTTTAAGACCTTCTCCATTTAAATAAGTCATCAAAACTGATAACCTACATCCTCTTCAGCTACATTCCTATTTCTCTTCCCCTTTTCAGCCAAACTGTTCAAGGGTTAAAGTTGTTTATACTCCCTACATTTCCTCACCTCACCACTGGACTCCTTAATTGAACCTATCTATTGTGGTTTCCATCACCCAGCCCTCACCAAAAAGCTCTTGATAAACTCACTAAAGACATCTTTGTTGATAATGCCAATGGACATTTTTCAACCCATTTTACTTAATCTAAGTTAAAATTGACACTTACTTGTCTGAACTTCCTTCTTTCCAGTCATCTCATGATGACTCCTGCTTTATCATTATCCTTCAGATGTCACCACAATTATCACTTACGTAGAAGAGACTTCCTTGACTAGGTCAAATCCCCGTGGAACCAAAAAACCCAATTCACATCGATTTAAATGATAAGACAATTTATTGGCTCATGTGAATAGAAAGTCTGAAGATAAGATGAACCTCAGGATTGATTTAACTGAGTGACTCAAGAGTATCAGTGAGAACTTGATTTTCTTCTGCCTCTCAGTTCTACTTTCTGCTCTGCCAAATCCATCCTAAGGCTGATTCCTTTTGTATCTTAAGATGGTAGCCAAGAGCTCCCAAGGCTACACAGTTCTTCACATCAAAAGAGTTTCTTCACGTATCTCCAGTTGCATTGTGATTATACTAACTTAGGTCACATGCCCACTCCTGAACCTAGAGTTTTGTGGTCTAGGGAATGTCATGTACTGGACTGGCTGAGGCAAATCAGGGCCCATGCTTGTAGCTGCGGGTGGGGTTAGTCCTACCCAAATCCCATGTATGTTACACTATGTGATATGGGTAAAGTAGATGCTAGGAAGACAACCAGAGTATTCATTTTATCTTCCTATTACACACTTATAGCACCATGCACCCCTCCATTGTAGCATCTGTCATACTTGTAGCTTTATATTTATTTGTACGAGTTTTTATTAATAACTGTCTCCACATGTAGATGAAAAATTTTCATGAGTCCAGGGAGTATGTTTTTCTCACCATTGCATCTCTGGTACCTAGCATCTCATTCTTCTGAGGTGGTAGGTGGCAGTGTTACAAGGGCGTGTATGGGTATGAGTGTGTGTATGTGTGTGTGTGTGTGTAGGGATGGTAGTCCTTTGGTTATGTGGGTTTGGGAAGTGGAGTTAGGCATATAGCCCCTCTCTGTATAGACTTTTACCTTGCCCTCAAATTCTCACCCCTGATCCTTTGATTTTTTTTGTGTGTGTGTGGAGATAATTTGTTCTCTTTTCTTATCTGATCACCTCTGGGGTCATATAGATTGTGACTTCCTCTGTTCTGCTAAATTTACCACTGCTCTTCTATTTGCTTGTTATGCAACCAACATTTATTAAAATCTCTTGTCTGCTATTGTCTCTTTTGTTTGCCCTTTGGGCTCTACTTTTTAAAAAAATTATTTAACTGTGTTGTTAATTTTCCATGTTTAACCAAGGTATTGTCATGTTTTTATGGCTTTTTAATGTTTAGTTCTCTAATCCACTTGAAATTTTTTGTATATATGAAGTTGGATGTCAATTTAAAATTTTTCCTCCCAATGGAGAGCCAACTGTTAACATCATTTATAGATGAAATAATATGAAATGCTATTTAAATCATATTCTTTATTAAATTCACAGACACACACACACATATACACACATAT